TTAGTAGGAGTAATTCAAAAATGACATAGGTAAAAGCAGACCTCTTGGCTTTCATTAGGACTCAAATTAACAGCTTTTTGGGATGGAGTGGGAAGATCTGCCAAAACTTCTACTTCTGGACCTACTTCAAGGATTCCTGGAGCGCGAATAAAAACCCCACGAAAACTTGGAGGACCTCCTTCTTCAGCCGCAATTTTGGGAATCAAAAGCTCCGCCTCAAAGCTTTGAAGCTGAAAAAGTTAGTTGGTCATGAAAATAGGTGGCAATGAGTGGATATAAACATGAATCTTATATGTAAGCCACACTGCAGAACAAAAAATTTAAATGAGATCATCAAGTATGTGCTGAACATGTTTTCCAAAAGGTATTCCCTGAAAAAATCATAATTTCTATGCAAATCAATCTAAGAGACACAATATAAATGTGGTTAAAATATAGTAAAGCTGAATTCATCTTCAATTAAGAAAATGCATCAGTCCAGAAAAAAGCTATCAAAATCCCTAATATTGCTTCCATGTGAATCATGGTTTAATGCTCTTGTTTATAAGAGGATGCCGGTGAAGTGTTCTGACATCAAATGTACAGCATCCGACAGTGAAACAACATTAGGCACGACATAATATGTAAAATTTTGTATTCTGTTACGTTTTCGAAGGACAACTATTAGTTAGACATTGGCTTCACTTCTTTCTTGGATACTAGTGTACTAAAATTAAGGTAGAGAGGATGCTAGTAATACCTGACTGCCAAAGAAGTTTCGATGAACCATACAGTCAAGGCCCCCAATTAGTTCCTGCCCTCCGATTTTTTGCCCTGAAAGGAATGCCCATCAAGTTCAAAACCAAACAATATGATCTCTTTTATTTACTCCCTGCCATTAGACAACTATATTCGAAAAGGGTCTCCTGAAACGTGAGCACTAATCAGAAAAGGGAAAGGTAAGGGGTCTTAACAATTATAAAAGAACTGTGCAAAGCCCTGGGCCTTTTGCTCTTATAACATAAAAGGTGGCTGGCCATTCGTCAGGACCCAGGAATCCTCTGTACAATCATTGATTCTTTCCATAAATACCGATATTTGGATTGGAAATCATAAAAATCTAGTAATTCGAATCATAGCCAAGTGCGCGGTGGATAACTGCTGAAAGCAAAGTAGTAAACCCACCCCCAAGAGAGCTTCCTGAGATAACATTGATGGAAAAGGATACCTACCTGTGGCCTTGTTGGCCAAGAAAATAAGGCCTGCACAAGTCCCCCAAACTGGTTTCCCCGTTTTGACAAACTCACGTAAAGCAGGAAACTGCAATTGTGACAAATTCTTAGCTCCAAAATATCAAATAAGCTTCATATCAAACGTATATGTAACAACAGTCACAAGGGGCAATGAAACTGCAATTCCAAACAATAGTTATAATCTGCAAATAGGTGACTTAGCTCTCAAAGTTATCTAAACCTGTGGATTACGTTCTCTTCATCAACTTTCAACTAGCTTGATTAAGCAATATTAACTTTCTTTCTTTGGTATGGATAAAACACTAGACCATACTAATACACGGTACAGTTTTCAAGGATGATGGTTATTTCACATGAAAAATATTAGGTTTACAGAAAACAGGGGTAATCTGTACAGCTTCAAAAATCTCTGTACAAATAAATAGCCTATTAAGGGAGCAAGATTTTTTAACTATTTTTTGAGAATTCATGGCCTTCACTATTACATATCAGAGACTTGCAGGTTTTCACATTCAGCATTGAATTCCATTCCTCTACATGAAGAAACAATTAAAAAGAAACATACAAGTGGACAATAATCATGAAAGAATGCTAAACACCAAGAGAAGGTTAACGAAAAATTTATTGTTAAAAATACCATTTTTGATAGTATCACTCATACAGTATGAGTTATTCATCTAGATAAATATTAGAAAGTGGAAAAAAAGAATAATTAGGTGTGAGAAGATATTGAATTATTGCAGATGGGCAAACATAATTACTTTGAAGTAGTTAGAGAAATATAAAATATCACAAGAACAAAAGTTTTGTTGATTTATATTTATATTGAAAGTAAAAGACCTGTTTTATTAAAACGACACTTCTTTAACTGAGTCCACATTTGGTAATTGGCTGATTTATATGTGATTGGATTGTGCTTCCTTTCTTCTACAATTACAATTTTTCCCCAAGTTCAGGAAAAACAGACAAAAATGGCAACACCTATATATATGGATGGCAATCGGGCTGACCGGATCGAACTGTCCATGGCTGGGCTCAGTCTCAGAGGCACCGAGCCCCATTTTTGGGAGTTGGCTCAAGCCGGGTAGGCCCGTAAAACAAAAAAGTAAAATTAAAAATTTGTTGCCTATTTGGCAGCTATTTTAGAAGGAAAAAGAAGTTTCAAAAAATTCAGAAAATCGAGCTCGACTCGACTCAGACAAAGCTCAAGTCAAGCCTTAATTTTTTGGCCGAGCTTTTGCTTAGCTCGGCTTGGGTCAAAAAAAGCCCGCCTTAAAAAAGCTCGAGCCGGCGCAGCTCAACTCATTGACACCCCAACCTATATAGTAGCTTCATTTTTAGTATTTTTGTCATCTTTCAATAATAATTTGCCAAGTGTCCATCTATATGATTTCTGTGAAATTTCTCTACCTATAGCATTATTCCTACAATTATACTAGTTGTACATTATTGGTTTACATTGTGGATGACATCCTCCAATGTGGATGAATCTAATCATTGATCGAAATTTTTTTAATTAAAATCAATATGCAAAAAATTTCACGTTACACAATATCAAATTTGATGCACCTATAGCAAAATTATTTCTCAATTATGCAACTTGTACATTCTTGCGTTACATTGTGGATGACATCCTTCTGTGTGGATGAAATTTGGCAATTGATTGAAAAGTGTTATTAAAATCAATGTATAAAAAGCTGTCATCTCATACAATGTCAAACTTGACATACTTGTATTAAAATTATTTCTCAATCATGCTAGTAGTACATTTTTGGGTTACATTGTGGATGATATCCTCCTACGTGGATGAAATCTGACCATTAATACGTGTTTTGGAGTTAGCCTTTTGAGATTCATTCAGTTCAACTTGTTTTAGCTTCAAGGTTCTCTCTGGTTCTCTTTCCTGAGCACTCTCAGAAAATTCCTCTCTTCTCACTTTCGATTTTTGTGGTTGTGATCTTGAAAAAGAGTTGTAACCCTAAGTGGTCGATCTTGTATAGTTTCCTTATGTCGGTTTTGTGGCCGTGTTGATTAGGTAACTATGTTCGATTTATTGTAAAGTTCGATTAGGATTGATTCTTGGTGTTTAGGAGCTGAAATACACTGGTGTTGTAGTTCTTGGCCAAAAATCTAGATCTGATTTTTGGTTTCTTGCACTTTCCCTTTCTCTGGACAGTTTAACTAGTGCTCATAGTTGAACTGGGTCAACAATTCTAAAGTTCTTGCAGTCTATTTATTTTCTGCAGTGCAATAATTTACTGTTTTTTATTGCTGCATTTTTCAATTTTTCACACTGCTGAGTATAATATTCTGATTTGGGTCAATTGATCCCAACATATATTTTGAACAATATTATAACTACAACAAGGTGAATAACTCCATTCCGGATTCTTTCTCTAACTCGAATCTTGAGAAGTGAGAACCACAAAAATCCTTAGTTAGATACACTGCATAATTGGGAAAACACCCATATAAACGGAAAAAAAAAGGGATTTATTACGATTATATTTTATAATTGGAACAAACAAGGGCTGAATTGATTTTTAATTCGTTGGCAATATTTTCTTGATTTTGTAGATTGTAATTTTGTTCACTTTTTCAAAAATTGACTGATATAGTTTAATGATATTTATTTAAATGATTTTACAAATTGAAATTCTTTTAAATGAAAAATTATGAATTTTCTGTAATAAACACTTGATAGTAAGAAAATCATTAAAATTCAACAAATCCATTAAAATCTATAAGATAGAATCTTGTTAAAATCTTGTGGGAAATCTATAAATCTTAAAAAAAAAACCCATTAGACCACGAGCTATGTGTTTGGCATGTAGTGCATTATTTTCTATCGAACATGTTAATGTGTGAATGCGTTGCTATCTTAAAGAAGGGCGGTACAGCGTAAGGCAATGTTAACAATCTAAGCAAAACCTGGAAAATTATACCTAGCACATAGTAGAAGTTACGGAAAGGACGGAGACAGGAAAATGAAGAAAAGAGAGCACATGGGTCATCATCTATGTATTTCGCCATGGCCAGCGTGAGAGGTACCAAAAGAGGCAAACTTAATCAATTGAATAGAGTGGAACTTACGTGCTTTAAGTTGTGCGTCATTTTCTATGGCTTAACCTCAATTTAATAAATTTATCAAACTTAAATTTCTAAGTGCACGTTCCAATGAACCAACAAGTACTATCCGTAGCACAAGTGATTGGATTGTTACCCTTTGAAGAAGTTAAAAGAGAAGCCCAAACTCTCTTGATGAAGAAAGGGTATAGGCAATTGAACCGTTTCTCGCTCCCTCTTTCATCGTAACAAAAATTAACAAATACCTCAACTTAGGTCCCTTTTGGTATGAATTTTGAAAAGTCGAAATGAATTGGATCCGTTCGTCTAATTTTATGAAATTGCCTGAGGTAGTTAGAACTTTTAGAATAGTTGATTCAATGTGACTTCCTCTAAAAACACTTTTGAAATAGAACTCTTTTAAAAATTAATTTTCAAACAAAATTGAGATAATTTTTTCAAAAACTCTTCTACAGAAAACAAAAGTCATGCCAAACAAGTCCTTGTTACTATAAGAGTAAGCCCGATGGCCCGGCTCAGAGCTGGAGCATCGACCTGGGTGTTCAGGGGCATGCCCCATTGCTGGCTATCCTGTGGGAGCCTTGATGGATAGCAGGTCCAATTTCATTATATTCAACCTGTAAAAATATAATTGTTTTAAAACTTACTCTTATAACTTGACCTTTCAAGCTTAGCCAGACATGCTCTCAATCTCCTGCTTTCAGTTTAGGAGAAAAAATTCATTATAATCAAATTTATAACCAAGAAACAGAAAGGAGTGAACTGGCTAATGCAAAACCTCTGTTTTCTAAGAGAGAATAAAGAACAGTATAGCGCTTCACACGCACTGCACCAAATATTAGAAAACTAACATTGCCCTTCCACTTCAAAAGAAGTTTATTGAATGTAGAAGAATTTGGTAGCGATGGACTGGCTTTCTGACATTGAATACCCTGCCTAAGTAGACATCACCATAAATAATGATAACGGAAATAAAAAACAAGTGAAGAGATTAAGGAATTTCTCGTCTGATCTTGTATTGTTATTTCTTTTGTCACTGTTGTTGATAAATAGGAAGGTCGTATATTGGTGGCTTTAAAAAATGTTGATCCTTGGTCGATTGGGAGATACTGCTACTTGAAGCATCTTCGCTTATGCCACCTGCCATCTTCAAGAAGTAACCATGCCTGCAAGAAAAGAGAACGTCAAAGTATAGGTACTGTTACATATCCATTCAATACATCGGCAGAAGATGTGTACCATCTAGTATCGGCAGTCAATTCAGGGTGAAAAGCAGTTGCTAGCAAGTTTCCCTGCTTTACAGCGACAATTACTTTATTCTCAGAACCTGCATTCTCCTGATTTGGGGAAAGGTAAATGATGTTAATTGAAACGTCAAATTGTTGAAATCCCGGAACTAATATAGGAAGGAGCTGGATTGATTGAAAAAAATTGATGGAAATCCTTCTTACCATAATTAGTGTTGTATATTATATATTGATTGATTTCTTACTAGCTTTAGCGGATTAGAATTTATTCTTTTTTTACATCTTTCCTTGTACTATATATATGGACCCTTTCATTGTACAAATTATTGAGAAATAAAAGAAATCAATATCTCTTCATGGGATAAGAGCCAAGATATTTTCTAACCTAGTCAAAATATGGCTAAAGTAGCAGGAAATAACAGAGGTTCAACAACCTCCAAATCATACAACAGTGAATTGGAAGCAACATCTACCACGAATCCAAGAGAAATTGAAAACTCATCCTTTCAATTCACGGCAGAAAAATTGAATGGGAAGAATTTTCATGAGTGGGCCCAATCTATCTAACTTATTGTTGATGGAAAAGGCAAACTAGGGTACTTGACCGGTGAAACTAAGATGCCCACCTCAACCAACTCCACTCTCCTTCAAAAATGGAAGTCAGAGAACTCCATGCTGACTACTTGGCTGGTGAATTCTAGGCAACCCGCCATCAGAAACACATACCTGTTTCTTCCAACTGCGAAAGAGGTTTTGGAGGCCGTACAAGAGATGTACTCAAATTCTACCAACATTTTCTAAATCAAATCAAAATTGTGGCAAACAAAGCAAGGTGAACGAGAAGTGACTGATTACTACCTTGAGATAACTGGGTTGTGGCAAGAACTGTTAAGTTCTGAAGAAGAATGGACATGTGCTGAAGACAGTATTTGGTATAAAAAGAGATTGGAAAATGAACATGTGCATGATTTCTTGGTGGGGCTCCACCACGACCTCGAACATGACGATGTCTAGGGGCAAATTCTTGACCTCCTAATCGAGACCAACATGCTAGGATGCAAGCTAAGTGATACACTAATGGATACAAGAAAGAAATCTAAAGATGTCACAGATCCAGCGGAAACCAACACATGTCACACACTAGAGCTAACATTGCATTCGCGGTAAGCTACATAAGCCAACACATGCATTCACCTAAGAAAAGACATTTGGAAGCAGTCTACGAGATCCCAACATATCTCCAGGACTTCTCAAGAAAATGACTATTTTTCAATAAGAGTGAAAGAAAGGAGGTTGAAGTCTTCACAGATTCAAAATGGGCAGGTTTAATAGAAGACAAGAGACCAACTCTTGGGTATTGTACCTATGTGTGGGGAAACCTCGCAACTTGGAAAAGCATGAAACAAAGTGTAATGGCCAGAAGCAGTGTTGAAGTTGAGTTTAGAGCTATTGCACAAGGAATATGTAAAGGACCGTGGTTGAGAAAACTTCTGGAAGAATTGCATGTCATAATAAAGTTCTCAATCAAACTCTATTGTGATCAATATTTTCCTCAATCCTGTTCAGCATGATCGCACCAAGCATATAAAAGTAGGCAGACACTTCATAAAAGAAGAATTGAGGAAGGAACTATTTGAATGACCAATGTTCCTAAACATGAACAAACTATAGATATATTTACCAAATGACTACCTTGACAATGATTCGATGATTTCATATACAAGTTGGATATGATCAATATTTACGATCCAACTTGAGTGGGAGTGTTAAAATCCTGGAACTAATACAAGAAGCTGGATTGATTGGAGAAAATATATGGAAATCTTCCTTACCATAATTAATGTTGTATATTATATATTGATTGATTTCTTACTAGCTTTAGAGGATTAGAATTTATTCCTTTTTTACAGCTTTCCTTGTAATATATATATATAGACCCTTTCATTGTACAAATTATTGAGAAATAATAGAAAACAATTTCTCTTGACAAATGAATCAGGATGCTTGCGATAGAAAAGATTAACATAATCAAAATAAATAGATTTTACGGACCAAACCTTGATCCTTGTTACACTAATGGTAAGAAATAGAATAGAATTGAAACAAGCCAAGCAAACCCACAGATGCATCGTGGTCCACCTTCAATGCAAGAACTACATCCACTTGCCATTGCAAGTTTTCACTATAATAGAGAAAGAGTACAGGTATTTTTTCCTTGTGCCTCTCACACACTAAAATTATTACCCTAAAATACTTTCCTTATGTCATATGGTAGGAATATTAGGATCGTTTCCAGTATGATTATGCTCCCTATAAGCTAAGAATAATAATTTGGCAATGTTTTACGTACTTGAAGGACACATGCAGGTGCTTTAGATGCAAGTTAATTTGGTAGAACTTATAGATGAAGCCTAAACCTGAAAAAGGATTATTCCATACCAAAATAATTCAAAAGAAATTAGTTGTCCTCGGACATATAATCAAAATGATAATGTTGAACTGACGGCTAAAGTAGCTGATAAATTGCAGCAGTCTCTTTTAGCTATTAAAAGAATTTTTACTGCTGTGAGTTCTCATACTAAAATATGCATTTCATGATCTCATGTAGAACTCGAGATTCAAATGCACAAATTTGTAGACCAAAACCAACTAATGAACCAATTTATGAAACACAATCCGACTAATGCACCATGTGGCCATCACGGTGTCTTTTGCAAATCTATGGTATTGGAGAAGGCACATACAAAGGGAAGCCTGTTGAGAGTTTCTATCTGATATGTGAAAATCCCCACTTCCCAGTAATTGGAGAAACAAACGTAGAACAAATTATTTACTAGATGATGAAAAATAGCTCCGTTCACCTCAAAAAGGATGTCTAAAACAACTTAAAGCTCATTTAGCGCCGACTACTAAGAAAGGTTTGTTAAGAGTGAACGCAGGGCATAGCAAAAGCTAAAGAAGTTTAATCTAACAAGTGGTATTCTCTTAGAGACAACTGTAGAAGAATCAAATTCACGACTCTAAGTTGCCATACAAGTGCATCCGTTACTGGCTAATTGGTCAGAAGGACATAAACAAGGACAATGCAGACAAAATAGTGTAATTTGGAAACAAATGGCAGTAATGATAAACAGAAAATTTACACCATGAAATTATTGCCTAATTTGCTCACAGTGTTGTTCAACCCTTCATCAGTAATCAAATTAAAACATAGGGCACCTCTTATATCCCAGTGCATATAGTTATCTCACTTTCAATTTGTCAACAGAACCATCGACTATTTTCATTCTTTAATCAATTGCATAAGTTTAAGCTGATGTTTTCAGAATCCAATCTTGGTACCCTACATCTGCGCATTGGTTGACCTGGGAGGTACTTGACTAAGAAGAAAACCTTGGGCTCGCGTAGTGCAAAGGAGTGGGCATGAAAGAAAATACCTTCAGGAAGTTTCATGGAGAAATATAAATGATTCTTAAAAGAGTAAACATGAGTCATTCTCTGCCATTTGGTGCATGTCCATCAGAATGTTGTAGAACAGAGAGAGAGAAGACAAGTGCAGTATCATATTGTTTCTACTTTCAAATTCAAAAAGAATGAACCCACATAGCAGTGTCTCCACCCTCCGGCCACACATATGACCGTGGCTATTAACAAGAAACTGAAAATCGCATCATAGTTTGCCAGAAAAGAGTTTACTGAGATAAAGATAGTCCTGAAGTAGGTGGCGCATAAAAATTATGCTTACAGTTTCTTTCAAAAGATACATCAGCGTGTCATGCTGTTCAACTCACCTACTTTTATGAAGACATCTATAAAACTCTTTCACTCATAAATCTTCATAACCAGAAGATATAAATAGTAACAACACAAATGTATGTTATTTACCCCCATGATTTTATATTAGAAAAATGCTATATGCTTGTTTTTCCTCATGTACTTGAAGAAGTCAAATATCAACATTGCATGGGTAATCTTCCTAGAGCTTGACACTAAGACGATCTTTACAAAGCTACATTCGCAAAACACGCAGCATCTAAAGAAACGAGAATGCTCAAGCACAGTCATTAATGAAGCTTCAATACATTATTAAAATGAATGACATAAATTTTAAAAATAGAGTTTCCTGCACATATAATACTTAGTAGGAGTAATTCAAAAATGACATAGGTAAAAGCAGACCTCTTCGCTTTCATTAGGACTCAAATTAACAGCTTTTTGGGATGGAGTGGGAAGATCTGCCAAAACTTCTACTTCTGGACCTACTTCAAGGATTCCTGGAGCGCGAATAAAAACCCCACGAAAACTTGGAGGACCTCCTTCTTCAGCCGCAATTTTGGGAATCAAAAGCTCCGCCTCAAAGCTTTGAAGCTGAAAAAGTTAGTTGGTCATGAAAATAGGTGGCAATGAGTGGATATAAACATGAATCTTATATGTAAGCCACACTGCAGAACAAAAAATTTAAATGAGATCATCAAGTATATGCTGAACATGTTTTCCAAAAGGTATTGCCTGAAAAAATCATAATTTGTATGCAAATCAATCTAAGAGACACAATATAAATGTGGTTAAAATATAGTAAAGCTGAATTCATCTTCAATTAAGAAAATGCATCAGTCCAGAAAAATGCTATCAAAATCCCTAATATTGCTTCCATGTGAATCATGGTTTAATGCTCTTGTTTATAAGAGGATGCCGGTGAAGTGTTCTGACGTCAAATGTACAGCATCCGACAGTGATACAACATTAGGCACGACATAATATGTAAAATTTTGTATTCTGTTACGTTTTCGTAGGACAACTATTAGTTAGACATTGGCTTCACTTCTTTCTTGGATACTAGTTTACTAAAATTAAGGTAGAGAGGATGCTAGTAATACCTGACTGCCAAAGAAGTTTCGATGAACCATACAGTCAAGGCCCCCAATTAGTTCCTGCCCTCCGATTTTTTGCCCTGAAAGGAATTCCCATCAAGTTCAAAACCAAACAATATGATCTCTTTCATTTACTCCCTGCCATTAGACAATTATATTCGAAAAGGGTCTCCTGAATCGTGAGCACTAATCAGAAATGGGAAAGGTAAGGGGTCTTAACAATTATAAAAGAACTGTGCAAAGCCCTGGGCCTTTTGCTCTTATAACATAAAAGGTGGCTGNGGTTCGACGACGTAAATACCATACCCGCACCATTACGAATCGGTTCATTAAAATCAAAACCATATCCGCCCCATTGCACCATCAGTTAGGTTTTTTTCGCCCTATTCGGTTCGGTTAACCGCGGTTTTCGATTTTGACTGTTCAAATTGCCATCTTTAGTTTGTCGTCCTCCTAAAATCAATAACATTTCGTCGGAATACATCCCGTCTTTCAATTATCTCATATTGGGCCCTCCTCATTGGACTTGGAACTTGGTCGGCCCATTAGCTCATGAGGCCCATTTCCATTTTCTGTGTGTGTGTGTGTGTGTGTGTGTGTGAGTTTCATTCATTTCTAGAGGGGCTAGGTGGAAGAGGCGAAGTCGAGATTCTGTTGGCATAATTTTTTCGGTCAACATCTGACTTTTTTCTTATGAGTTGATAATTGTGTTAAGATAAGATAAGATAAGATAATTACTAGTATCTAAATTAAAAAACTTACTAATTTTGTTGATAATTTGTCCTTAGGCAACGTGGCCAAAAAATTTTGTACTAGATTAGCACAAGGGTGGCAACAACATTATTTGCACCAAAAAATAAAAATAAAAAAACGATTAAGTAACTTGCTGTTATTTTAATTCGTACTAATTGAAATATTGCATAAATAATCAAATATTTGCAAAGCATGTAATTAAATAGAAATTCAAGTTTTTTTCTCTTAGGTTTGAAGTAAAAATTGCATTATCTGTCCTAAATGAATTGTTCAATTTGCAAGTTGATCGCCAATCAATAAAAATGTAACAAATTATTCATCGACCTCATAATTGACTGATGATCTATTTGCTCCTTTCGTAAGTTAGAGATCAACTTGCAACTCCTCACATGCTACGATAAATTATGTCCACTATTATTGAGAAGGTTGAAAATATCAATGTTAACATTTGAAGGTTTTCACTCATTGCAAATGTTAGGACCATCGCAGAAATATTCTCTAAATTTGCAATCAGTTATACTATAAGTACATTTGATGTTAACAATCGCACACATAGGTGGAGGGGCCCATGTTGAATAAAAAAATATATTGGGCTCCCCCCTGTAAGTACGTTGTCAACCCCGATTATACAACTAGAATAATTTATTTGCAATAGCCATTAATGCTAGTTGTCAATATTTTGAAAAGCACGCCTAGAGCATGCTTAGATGCGTGCTTTTTTGTTTGACAAGTGAAAGTCTTAATTTTGAGTTCAGTCCAACAAAGTGTCAAATCACTAAAGTTTAAAAAGAAAACAAGTCGATCAAAATACTAATTGAGTCCCATGAACATAATTTTCTCTGCTCACAACTAGGGATGACGATGGAGCGGGTTCTAGGCGGAGCAACCTCCCACACCCTCGCTCGTTACCCGTTTAAGGCGTGCATGGGTCGAGGGATGAGCCAACACTCTTGCCCCAATCTAGTACTTGTTTATTTTTTTTAATTCATTTTATTACCCCTCATTCAGTAAAATTAGACAATAATATAGTTATTAAATTTTTAATTAATTTGTTTATTTTTAAAAGTTAAATTATTGAAATATATTTAGTAAACTAAGGTTTTTATTGTTTATCATATTCCTTACATAAAAAGTAAAATAAATATAAAGTTAAGACGAGAAGGGGCTCTTGTTACATTTACCCACCCCAAGGCGAAATCCCCACCCCGTCCCAACGAGTAATCCCCGTACTATTTGGGGCGAGGCCTCGCGTTGGATTTGATGAATTTTTTTGCCATCCCTACAAAACATTAATGATTAGAAGTATTTTATGATTTTGAGAATTATGTTTCCGTTAAAAACTTGAAAAGTAAGTATGAAAGCTCTTAAAAAGCTTCAAGGTATATGTTATTTTAAGTATTTATTGATCTAGGTAAAAATAATATTAAAATAGAAAAATGTCTTATTACATCTAGGCTTCGATTAAACACGCTTGGGTTCGTAAGACCTAAAGTTTGACCTTTATATTTATCATGATTTGCATCTTTTAGAATCTTATTAATTGGTAACGATCCAAATCTAGTCTATCATATAATGGAATTTTTATATCGACTGCTAAACAATATCACACCCTGGTTCGGCCCCATTATTTCAAAAATATAATTTTCTTTTTCTTATTCTCAATTATATATTCTTTAATAAAATGATATTACAAGTAAACCTAGAGTTTTTCTTCGTTTTTTAACTATACATTCTCCATCAAGATAATATTTCAAAATGCATTTCGTGCAAAAATGGGGCTCAAACAGGAATAAACCTCATAAATTTGCACGGGCGATACATGAAATTACTATGTAAAGACATTTTTAGGATGAACTGTTAAATAAGATGAATAGTCCAAATAAAATTTACAACTAAACAATGACGACTTCCTATTGTTCTGTATTCAAATTAGCGATTATTGACAATTTGGATATAAATAAAAATAAATGGACCATTGTTGAAAATATGGGAAAGATGAGGAAACGGTCAAAGGATATTCAAATTGAATATAGTCTTTGATAGGTGAGAATTATATTCAAATTTTCATTAGATTTTATTAAAATTTGATAGAATATAGAGTTGAAAAGTTGTAAGTTGTATAAAATATAATATTAAATTTAATTATTAGCTTTAACTTAAAATAAAATCTTGATATTATTTTTTTAAGTTAAAGAAAAAAAGTTTTAATAAGAAAAGATAAATCATTGATTAGAAAATAAAAAGCATTAAAAACAAAGATAAATACATTTTGACTAGGTAAATTCGCAAATAAATATATGCAAATTAATTTCTTCTCCTCTCACAAATCTCGGGCCCATTTCTCTCCCTATCAGTTCTGTCTCTCCTCTCTTTCGTTAACACACGCATATCCACAGCTCCGGTGACAAACCGGCGACCAGTGGTTGGCAGCAGGTAATATACGATCAAACTTCGATTTTTGTTACATCGGATGCATATTTCCGGCGACTGCGTCTTATGGCGGGCTAGGATGACGTCGACTGTTTGGTAACATCCTATTAAATTTTAAAGCCCAGTTTGGATCCTAATATATGGATTTCTTTCTGAAACATTTATCTGCTTACGGTTACATTTGTTGCGCGTAGTATCACATCACTGCGTTTCTTGCGAAAAATGAGAAATAAGTTGGAAAAAAAAATAATAGGATCTTGCTTTAGATGACGAAGATTTGAAATTTTGTGGGAAGTTTTTATTTGTTTTGCCTTTTGGGGTGATATGGGTATAATTAATTTACAGAGTTTATATAAAGATGTTAGTTTGATCGTAGAGGATGAAGATATTTTATATGGGAAAATAGTATCTGGATTGATATATTAATGGCTAGAATTGATAGATGGAAAAAAGTATTCTTCAAAGATCGAAAATTGTCTTCTGGATACTGGGAAAGGTTATTCTGATAACTGGGTCGTGAAGTTGGGGGGAAAAAAAAAACAATTCAGCGAAATTTTATTCTTAGGTTTTTCCTTCTGGGGTTTGATTGATTTCTTCATTTGTTTCGAGTAGGGTATAATAACTGGTAAAATGGATTGCAACGACCAAAAGAAGAAAAGGTTGGCAAGTTCTTCTCATAATGCAAATAAAACATCTTTCAATTTTTTGGTTGTGGAGGAAATGGAAATGGGTTCAAGGAGGGAAGTTGATGATCATTGTAGCATTTTTGGATCAAGTGAATCTTTTCTCCCTGGTTTGCACGACGATGTTGCCTTAATGTGTCTTGCTTGGGCTAGTAGATCAGATTATGCTTCATTGTCATGCTTAAACGCAAGGTTTAATTCACTAATTAAAAGTGGTTATTTGTATGAGTTGAGAAGGCAGCTTGGGATTATGGAGCATTGGGTGTATATGGTTTGTGACCCTAGGGGATGGGAGGCATTTGACCCCTTTAGGCAGAAGTGGATGAGATTACCGAAGATCCCATGTGATGAGTGTTTTAATTATGCTGATAAGGAATCTTTAGCAGTGGGAAATGAGCTTCTGGTGTTTGGGCGTGAGTTGTTTGATCTTGCCATTTGGAAGTATAGTTCAACTGGTCGTGATTGGGTGAAGTGTGAAGGGATGAATCATCCTCGTTGCTTATTTGCATCTGGTACTCTTGGTTCAATTGCTATTGTAGCTGGGGGGAGTGACAAGAATGGGAACGTCTTGAAATCTGTAGAGCTTTATGATTCTTTAACGGGTAAATGGGAAATGTTACCAAGCATGCATACTCCCCGTAGATTGTGCTCTGGGTTTTTCATGGACAGAAAATTCTATGTAATAGGTGGGATGACTAGTCATACTGATTCCTTAACTTGTGGGGAGGAGCTTGATCTTAAAACAAGAAAGTGGAGGAAAATTGAGGGCATGTATCCTAACATCAATAGAGTTGCACAGGCACCTCCACTTGTTGCGGTTGTTGACAACCAACTTTATGCAGTTGAATATTTAACAAATATGGTAAAGAAGTATGATAAAAAGAAGAACTCATGGGATGCACTAGGACGACTTCCTGTCAGGGCCGATTCCTCTAATGGTTGGGGACTTGCTTTCAAGGCCTGCGGTGAAGCACTCCTTGTAGTGGGTGGTCAAAGGGCTCCCGAAGGCGAAGCCATCGTGTTGAATTCTTGGCATCCAAAATCAGGGGTCAAGAACGGCACATTGGACTGGAAGATCCTTGGAGTGAAGGAGCATGCCGGTGTCTTTGTTTACAATTGTGCTGTCGTGGGTTGCTGAGTACATTTCCAAGGAGAACTAACGGTTTACTGCCTTATGATCCTGCTCTCAAGGTCATCTTACTAGATTTGATTGGTCGAATTTATTATTGTTTGAATTACCTCTTTCAAGGGTTGACATAAAGTGCTACTTTAGCTTTTTTAAGTGTTTTTAAAGATTTTCTGCCTCTTTTTTTCAGAACTTCTAAGAATTTTTATGTTATTGTTGAAATTCCTTTGTTTTGAAATTGTCTTGATGTTATCTTCTTGACTCAAAATTCACTGCATGATTCAAAAATAATTTGAAGCCTTGTAGTAGATATTACTGTTTTGATGCTTTATCTAAGGGGAGAAGAAGAATTTTCTTTCCTAGCATAATTGAGATACTGTATGCCTTTCCACCCCGTCTCACATGCACACTCGCACTTAAATGCAAGGGATAGTTTTAAAGCAAAATTATCACCCGGCAAGGTGCAAAAGTGTTTCATCTTGAATGTTCATACAATCTTGGGTTGTGATTTGGTAATCCTTCTGACCCCCAACTCGACCCTCTTTCCCTGACCCTTGTGTGCGTGACACCCCACATTGTCTCTCTTTTCCCAACTCTTATTTGCACCCAGTTCATCTCTCTTTTCCCAACTTTTGTGTGCACCCTGTGTGATCTCACTTCTCCCTTCTCTTTTGTAGACCGTCGTTGTCTCTCTCATCCTAACTCATCTACTCTCTTTGTTGTCTCTTTGACAGTTCGATTCATAGCATGACAAAAGTAGATGCAGGTGTGAAGTTGCCATTCATGTATGAACATGTCACCGCTTTTCTCGTGATCACTCGTTTCCCTCTTGTGAAGTTGCTTTTAAGTGCTTGTACGTTTCTCTTGTGAAGTTTTTAAGTACTTATAAGTCTCAAGAAATGTGTTGATAATAAATGGGTAGGAAGTCTCACGAAATGTGTGGATAATAAATGGTAGGAAGTCTTACTAAGTTTGTTAATTTGTTAGAGAGAGAGAGAGAAGCTAAACAATGTCAAACCTACTGAGACATTTATTGCCGCCATAGGATACATGAATTGCAGGTTTCATGTTCATCTGAACCAGTCGCGTTGTATGCGGAAAGCATATGCTAAAGCCTAAAGTTGGCCATTTTTTGCTTCTCAATTTAATCATTTCCCTTTATGTCAAACAGTTATTGATGCGGGACCTTGTAGCTAAATGTGCATGAGCAATTGCTTGGTTAAGCTTTAAAAGGTTTGGAATTTTATTTAAAAGTTTTGAAAAATGACGTACAATCTTTTGATAAACTGATGGAGGATTAGGATTGTGCTTCCTTTCAACCAGCATAGCCGTAACGCCCCAATTTTATTTTATTATTTTTTTCAATTTTTTGAAAAACATGAAGTGTTACCAAATTTCTTATTTTTGAAGAAATAAAATCTCTTCTATAACTTTAAAGAAAATTTGATCAATCGACCCTATAAATTTAAAATAGTAACCAACTAACATTTAAATTTAATTAAAATCATTCAACATCAATTTAAATGAAATACGCGAACATGAATGTCAAATCTAAAAAATAAAAGTGCAAAAACTAAACATAAAATGTTAAATAAAAGTCTAGTCATAAATGTGCTTAAAATCAATTTATTTTTTTTACTTGACAATCCATAAGTATCCACTCATCCAATCTTTCACATGTTCAGCACGACCCGTTCTAATCTGAAATTTTTTTAAGAGTGAGTATTTTAAGCAAAACACTCAGTAAGATACATGCAAATTTCTATTCAACATAACTTTAGTACAAATGAAACATTCATACCCGACATTCATGAATTTAGAACCACTGATCGCGATAACAGATGATTCAATGAATTTCTTTAGAATTCCCACATCCCGTAGGATTTAACATAATTGGACCTGACGGTCTATCCCGAAGGATTTAACATAAAAATCATTTATTGGAATCTAAGGCATTGAATGAAATCATAATATAGATATTATGGAGAATTAAAATTTTAACCACTGCACTCGTGTATCTTACCTTAAAAATCTAAATTTGCTAAGAACTTGAAAATGGATTCTCGTGTTTGCCTTGACTTGAAGAATAGCAAAGTATATAGAGTTTATAACTTTGTATGTATGAAATAATTGTGTATGTAAGTTAAATAAATGTGCTTGGTGGGTGGGTAAAAGAAAACAATACTACTACACGTACAGCAAGAGACACAGTAAGTTTCACAGTGCTGAGGTGGAAAATGAAAACAAAAAAATACAACTTATACTTGAAAGAAGCCAAAACGGGTTATTCTTGTATTTTTAGAGACCTGACTCTAAACCTAACACCCGAACTCTCCCATTGCAGCTGTTGCGAAGTCGCCCTCACCAAATCTCCACGCGACTGTGGACCTTGCCTCCGGCCGGGAAAACACCGGCATTACTCCTCGAGATCTCTGTCCGATTCTTGTTAAGAACACTACCCTCCAATTGCGGGGATTTTCGAGGCGACCACTGAAGTATGCCCAGCTACCGCCCATTGTTACACCGCATCCGTTGGCAATAGACGACCAGTGGAATACCTCCTTTGTGTTAGGTAAGTAAAAAGAAGACAAAACATGTAATTTAAAAAGAAGACAAAAAATGTAATTTTCCTTTTTGTGAATGTGTTATATGGTTCTAAAATTGATTCGGTTTAGCCTTTTCTGTGTGTGAGATTTTGTGTTGTCTTTGTGTTATACTATGAGTCCATATATGTGAGAACGAAGATGGGTGAAGAGTTGCACTTGCGATATGTTTCTAGGCAATCGAAGTGTCTGGCAGTAAGATAACCAGTTTTTTTCCAAATTAAACTCGTAAATTCCAGTGATTGTTTTGACATTTCGAAAATTCTGGGTTGTGAGAATATTGAAAGTGGCTATTCCAATGATTTTTGTACTAGCTTATTGTTTAAGTGTTGTTTGAACTTATGATTTTTTACACACATATAACGGAGGCTTGATTTTTTCATACAATGTCATTGTGAGAAAGTAAAATATAATCTCACTGGATGATAGGCATAGTGGATTGAAGACTCATTGGTTAAGTTTTGTTTGAGCTTAAAAATATATGTCAGTTGAACTTTAATGGTAGAATTCTTCTGTAATTTGAATTAGACATTGAATTAGTTGCAACATTCATTAGTTCCTTGATGTGGTTGAACCAGGATACTGGGATGGCGGGCAAGAATAGGGGAATTTGTCATTGTTGTAGAATGTCGGGACATACGATGTTGGAATGCCCCAAAAAGAGAAGATGCCCAACTACGGTGTAGGATTCGTCAAATGGATGGAGGTGAAAAAGAACAATGAGCATAAAGGGCTATCGTTTCATTGTTATACCCGCGATTGCAAATTCTTCAAATGGTGTAAAAATAAACCCAATGAAAAATGTATAGTGCATGACGATGGGGACTCAAGTGGCATTACAAACGAAACTGAGCATGCGGATGATTTGTCGCATATGTTGAAATCCGCTCGCTAATCTAACGGATGAGAAGGATTTGGAGATTTCCCTGAACATAAAGATGTGCAAGGGGACACGAGTTTCGGAAGATGAGAAGGACTTGGAATGTGAAACTTGAGTCGTTGTATTAGTGTGTAGTACGGCATGTGTTTATGTAGCGTAATGTAGTGGCAATGCAATTCCAGTTTGTAGTAGTTTAGAGCATGTGGCAATGTTGTCTTCTTTCAACTTTCGAACTTCAAATTATGAATGTGCCAATGTAGTCTTATTCCAGTCGGTAAGTGTGGAATTATGAAATGAACTTCATTGTTATAGTTACCTCGTGTTTTTGTTGGTGAACACAAAAAAATGGCAATTTTAAATGATTTGGCACAAAAAATGCCTATAATTAATAAGCTCTTGTAATTAAAATGCTGTCACTACAGAAAAGGATATACGCATGATTTGCGTGCCAATCCAGAGGCATTAAACATCTTATAAAATTAGTAAACGTAATTGCATTCAAAACATTGTAAACTTAATGACATGTTTCCTATAGTTGCAAGGATGTAAAGTTATGAAATATACATGAACAATAAGTAGATCATCATAAGCATTCAAAACACTATGACTCGTCTAGATGTTGAAATAAAATGATAGCTCCAAACCAAAAAAAAAGAATATCATTACGTGCTTGCATTACATAATACGACCACCTATTGATGTTCACTAGTAGACGTGAATAACGGTCCTACTGATGATTGGATTGCACTCCTACTGACGATTGGGTTGCACTATACATCCAACCTGCTACTGCACTTTGAGAAGGTGGCATCAGTGGTTGGAATGGGATTGTAGTACCTACTGTAAAAACATATTCTGTCAATGATATGGGAAAAGAAACATGTGCAATTTATACATATGAAACCATATAATTACCTGGGTAATGGAACCTCAACATTTGCTGACGATGGAGCAATGGAATTTGAAGCTGCCAACTATTGTGTAACTGCATGACGATTTTGCCGACGATCACCCTACATGCAATAAAAAAGTGATTAGAAATCACGGCCATTGAACGTAAAAAAAAATAAAATCACTTACCATAATAAATTGTGAATGTGAGAATGGGGTGTGTGTGGGATATTCTACATGCAAACTGGGCAGAGAAATGTTATTACTCCGAGAAATCTGCGTGGTAGTCATTATTTGCTTAGATTGTAACCAAATACATTCTACTATTTGACAACATAGCTCCTCATTATTTGCGGCTATGCCTGCAAACGTAGCAAATTCCTCTCACAGTTTCTCATATCTCAACTGATCAGGAGTGCTAACCAAATCAGCATAGTTCATTGACACTCTTGTGTGAGCTCTACAAATATCTTGCCTCCATCTTCTCAATATGTAAGGGTCCGACAGTGATGTGACGTCGTTAATCATCAACACTGATATGGCATGTCTACACAGAATTCCTCGAAACTCAAAGAAATGACTACCGCAAACAATATCGCACATCTCTGCACGAAACCACACGGTGAATTTTTTTCTTCCTCGCCTTCTCTTCATAAACGACGTCCTCCTCGACCTCGTACGTCCTCCTCGAACACCCGTTAGACCCAGATATGACATCACAGTATACCTTCTCAATTATTTCATCCAGAAATTCTCAAATTTTGAATATGGTATACACTGCCTGAACTTGCTTTTCCATTACATATAGCATTGCACCCAGCACCATCTGCAAAAACGACTTAAAATCTGCATGGAACTCCTTCTTAATCTTATTTCGCTGTGCTCGTTCGTATTGTTCCACAAATTATTTCAATGATGTCGTAGAATGCACATATACGTCAAAGAACGCATTTACACTCTCACTGTGCTGAGTAGTTGGCATCCCCACCCTGAAAGATGTTTTTAAATAATATGGCACCCATCGACCTCTATTCTCATACAAACCGGACAACCATTCATTGTCGTATAAGTTATATGTATCAATCATCAATTCCCAACCTCTCTCAAACTCTTCAACGAACTGTGAGTCATACACTAATCTATGCATGAAAAAATGGAGCTCTTATCCACGTGGTATCCAAATTTTCAGGCAACTTCTTCAATATATGCCACAGACACTATCTATGCCTCGTATTTGAAAACACAATCTGAATTGCATTATATGTAGCCCTATCTTGATCGGTAATAATTCTGTTATGAACTTGACCATGCATGCACAACAACCATGTTCTGAACAGCCAAACAAATGTATCTGTATCCTCATTTGATAGCAACCCACATCCAAGCAGTATCGACTGTCCGTGATGATGTACTTCGACAAAAAGGGCAAAATGCATGTTATATTTATTAGTCAAGTAAGTGGTATCGAACGTCACTACATCACCAAATTCCTTTTATGCTTGCCTAGATCTATTATCGGCCCAGAAAAGATTTTTAAGCCGTGACTCGTTGTCCAAATCCATAGAGAAATAAAACCCAGAGGAACATGCTCGCATCTCCAAAAAGTAGGATTTATTGCTGCGGCATCTCCTTCGCCTAGTCTTAATCGCCTTACCTTTTTCACATAATTTCGACAATCATTTTCAATGCAAGTCATATTCTCATTTCCACCAATTTCAACCACTGTAGAGTTTTAACTCTTATGCAAAGGAATTTTAGCCATATCATTCACTTCTAGCCTTTGTTTTCAATTCTCGGTTACATCGATACAACCTAGACTTCGACGGACTTGTTTTATGATTATATTCTGGGTCAACCGTGTAGATTCTCCATATTTCCACGAACATCTGAGGAAGCAGTTATCCTTGCTTTGCAACCCGTCTAAATTGTTGGTTGCGGCTTCAAAGAAACACCTTTTTGGTAGCGTCATTGTACCTCACGACTACATGTCGGTGTAATGTATGTAACTACACCATTGTTCTTTCTGGAATTTCTTCTCTAAACTAGAAAACCTACTTCGTACACATATTTTTTGTAAAATTCAAACATCTCTTTCTTGTCGTTGAATTTCATACCCACCTCTGGCACAATTATAGCATCCTCTCCTACATTATCATCTTCCAATGTGATTACATTGTCCATCAAGTTCTCATCGTCGAATTCTGCCAATACTTC